GGAGCAATTTATCCTGCCTGTCTTAGACCCTTACACAGGATAAACACTCCTYTTGAAGTGACACTCTCTCTGTCTATTGACTATAGACTTGACTTCTAGACACTAAAGTCAGCTGAGATTAATGGCTCCCTAAGTTCGACAGTGCTCACAAGGATTTGATTTACCATATACAATATATGCTCATGTATTTTAACAAGAAAATCCAGACAGAAATATGTGATGTCTAGCTTAGAGCTTAAGTTTACATTTTAAAGTGTTCAGTGTGGTTCTGGGTGTATGCATGGACAGGGCAAAAACCTAGTGTGGATATATTTAGAAATTTATTTCAAACATTTTAAGAAGTATATGTATAAGAAGAGTTAATTTATTCATTCCAGGATTTTCTATACCGTTCTGGTTTCAATCAAGGACAGAAAGTAAAGTGCCGAAAACAAAACTTGAAAAATGATGGAAATTTCATATGAAGAAGCTTCTGCACTTTTTTTCTTTTTTTTTTCTAAACAAAGAGATCAGGTATATAATGAAATTAAATTAATGGGTGAGCCAAGCATTCAAAGAATTTTAGATTCATGCAACACTACAATCTGCTGCATATAGAAATTTCCTAAATTTACACTTCAGAAATAATATCCATGTATGTTTTATAGTAGCCTAAAATGAAATAATATTGGACTCTTCTCCTAAATTTCATTCATTTCATGTTTTGGCCTTGCATTTCCATCACCAATGAACAAATAGTCCTTTTTTAAATGGATATGCATATAGGTCTTCCTTTCTTTTTACCTTTTCTAGAAAATAAGGCACACTATCTTCCATTATCCTTTTAAATCCGACTTATTTTACTGTTTATTACATATTTGTTCCCTCTCTCCTTTTCAGATTTATGTGTTAGTTGAAATACTCCATACACATCTTTTTGGGTTCCTTTTATTAGGAACGGTGCATCAGTGTTAGATTTTTCATTCTTCACTCTTCTTACAACTAAAGACTTTCCCCCTTAAATATAGGAAGGCTTAAGCTGAAGTCATTTTCTTTGCTTATCTAACTCTTTAACAGCCAAAATTCAGCCATAAAAGCTGTCTTCCTCTTCATTTTTTTCTTAAAAAAGGAAGAGATTTTCTATTACTGTGCATGCTGCATCCTACTTTCTTGGATTCATTGTTCTTTTTCAACTGCTTTCCACAGAAATATCACAAAAACAACCCTGCGAAGCCACCATATATATGCTGTTTGTATCTTTGTTTTGGATACAGACATGTACCTCAGCTTTTGGAGAGGCTCTTTCTGCAGAAGGACTGTAAGTGTTTTGCAAGATGTCTCAAATACTAGATGGTGTTTATGCCAGACTGTAGCCTATTTTAATGATTCTGAGCCTACCTTAGGAGAGTGTGTAACTATTATTTCTTTTTTATGTTTCACTGATTTGCTCACTGGTTTTCTTTGCTGAGATATATCTATTAGAATTCTGAATTTCAAACATATTACCACAGGTTCTTAAAAATATTATGATTAACATAAACTAGTTTACTTTTTTCTTCTCTCTAAAGGAGTGTATATAACCCACAACACTGATTAGTAAAATTGGTAGAACTGGATTATACCAGGATTGTTTGTTTCCATCAGCTATATATGTGTACATCCTAAAATAGGATTGTCAAGGCAGCAAGTAATTAAATGACTTTACTTAGATGYTCCAGCAAACCATGTTGTTTCTGTAGCTGAATGTCTAACACAGACTAGTTATGAAAAAGCTATTTTTAATTATTTTTCTCTGTAACATGTTAATGGTTATCTTTCCTTAGACTGGAATTTCATACCTAATGAGTATGGCATTTTTTTTTTCCTCTTCTACTAGGTACAGATCTTTTGGGATGCTCTAAGGCCTTCACAGTTTGCATTTCTCCTATTTTTGACTATAGTAAACTGTGTATACAGATTATTTTATTCCTAAAACTTCTGCATTTCCATTCAGAAATTCATAATGCAGTTATTAACTGAGATTTCTTCACAGAGTTATTGAATTATCTTGATAAGCTTGGTTTATGCCCAGATGCTGTCACATGAATGTACATTGTCTTGAATCAGTCTGCCAGTCTAGCATACAGCTAAATAAGAGCTCGTTGCAGCTCCCCCAACAAGCAAGCCTGTCTGGTTTAACTACTTAGTTAAGTATCACTGTGCCACATGCTGTACAAAGTAAATAGGAAGAAATATCCTTCCACCAAAAGATTTATAGATTAAGGTCTTTTTTGCATTAATACTAATGTTTAAAAACTTTGACTAGTGTCCACTGAGGTGACTCTACTGCTTATCCAAAAMAAGTTACCGGTCCATGTTTGCATTAAAAGTTTAAGACTGTAACTTAGTGAAGATATCCCATTTCTAGACTGGGTTCTGATCACTTCAGCAGTGAAAGCACATCAAAGTACAACAACATTTTCCCCAAAGGAATCCCACTCTATTAAAAATATATTAGACAAATTTTCAWTTTTTTTTATCATAAATACTAAATACAGAAAGTAAAAGTTTGAAAATTGTATTTAGTATCTCTAGGAAGATCATTTTACTGTTTAACTCCTAACAGAAGTGGTATATATTTTATGGAAGATGTTTTCATTATTCATCTTATGTTTTGGATACCATTTCCAAATGACAAGTAGCTCAACTATTTACATTTACGTATCTGAATTTATACTTGAGCTTATATGCAGTATGTTCATCTTTCTAAAACACTTTTTTTTTGCATTTTTCAATATTTGTGTACATCCAAACAAAAATCCTATCCAAATAATATTCAAGGACAGTTCACAATTACAACTGAGATTCTGCACTCGGGAAAAAAAAAAAAAAAAAAAAAACAGCTGTGGATAAATATTCCATAGATATGTACATACTAGGAGATGAAGAAAGCAATAGAGAAACCACACTGCAAGTGGCATAGTCATAAAATGAAAATGCTACCTAAAACACACCCCTGCACAAACTTCAACACACATATATAGTTAACTTTATTTATTATTATGAATTGACTATAGATGAGAGAAATTTTCATGACATTTTTAATTTAAATGAAAGAAAATCAAAATCTGATTTCTACCCTAAAAGCATCTGTTGAAAGATAGTTTCTTCTGTAAATTGTAACAGAACAGTTACAATAAAATACAGTTTCAGTGCTGCAGTGACAAGCATTAGTGACAGGACTAAAACTGAATATAAACACTACTGCAGAYCCGAATATAAGTGTTAGTTTTTAAGAATAAATCTGATTGAGCAATATCTAAATGGAAAACTAAAAATGTGTGTTAGACTACAGATTCCCAGAAAATATAGTGTATTGTTAGACTGAGTTCCTCAAAGTTGTATTTGTATCTGAATATGTAAGTAAACAAACAAAAGTTAACAAACAGGTGTGCATTTAACCTTCTGTCCCCATCCAACAAGACATATTTCTGCACAAGGCATTATCATTCTGCAAAAAAAATCTTTCACACTAAAAGTACACAAGCCTAAGAAAACAATCATCCTAGACAACAGCTAAGGATATACTTGTCTAATGCTAGTGAAGGAATTGTATTACCTGAGAATAGACAGGAAGTCAGCTGTTTCCACAGTGGATAGATTTAGATTAATCAAAGCTCTTTGATAAACCTAGACTTAAAATAGATTGAATTCCATTATTCAGCAATATTCTTGAATACAGAGATGAAAAAGCTTATTCTAACCTGCGTACCTATTCTAGCTGGCAAAATTAGAAGGCTTCTCTTTGCAATATGCAATAGGAGTGGATCCATAGAACAAATCATTTTGTCCTTAAAACCTGATGTCCATGCTACTTGTGCTTTCAGGTTTTATAGAGGGATAGTAAAATATACTGAAGTAGTAGGAACTTAGCATTTCATAAGACTTCAGTTGATAGAGCATTTTGGTAACTTGCTCGGAGTTAAGGAGATCATACTGCAACTTGCCAAAACCGAAAGAAACCCTTGAGTCTTAGCACYTACTACAGTCTCCAGGTCATAGAAAATTATTATTTTTTTAAGGCTATCTCAACTAAATAAATTAGCTAAATTAAAACCATGACATATTGTGATTAACTAAGATATAAACGGTGACTTTAAAATTACTGCTCATAGGACACAAAAAATAAGTTATCTGAGCTAGAAAAAGGATTAAAATAAAACTTGAAATATTTAAATCCTAACCTTGATTCAGTCTATGAATGTCCTAACAACCAAAGCAAAAGCTGCTCCTTTCCACAGGACAAAAMCTAAAGAGAAGTTTGGTACTTTGATCCCTTCGTATGAGGAGAACCTTTGCTGCATATTCTGTATAATTTCTGATGTTTTATGGTGTGTTACAATACATACTACCCAGTTTGTATAGCTATAGTAGAGATTATAATTTATTGTAAYGTTTCCTCAGAGGTTGTGATTAATAATAAAATTTACAGAGAAAATTCTTCTTATCAACAGAAAAGCATATGCGCCTTCAAAGGAAGGATCACTCCCAGGCAAGATACAGTGTATAGAATCAAGAATTGCATACAGCATCATAGCATGGTAGCATCAAATGTGTAGACAGCTTCTTCTTAGCATTAAGCAGTTTTCCACAGCCTGTTTTCTTAGGACAAAGTTTGTTGGAAAAAGGGAAAGATTGTGCCTAATTTTTATGCATATTGACACTTACGGCTAGCATTTTTTTTTGACTCTGAAACCTGCAGGCATTTTTTGATTGAATATAATAGAAGCAAACAGTGCCACATACTGTGCTTACTCTGTTTTACATGTAATATCCTAAGAAAGGCAGGTTGGGGAGTATTTAGATTGCTATTGTCACCATGTCTTTTCTCCAGCACTTGCCATCAGAAAGCTAAGCACACCCACAAAAAGAAATAGCTAAGAACTATTCATCTTTACTCTTGAGAAGAGGCAATACAATTGCAATTAAATAACAGAGTTGATTTATGAAACCAGGTAGCCTATATTAATCCGTAAGCTTACCTTGGCATACAAACTTCAATTCCTTGGCATCTGTGACAGTTGTTCTTTTATCTGACCTCTTCTTTTCTGTCCGGCGATGGCTACGTCTTTTCTTTGTCTCTCCCCAGAGATTTGACCCGCCATGCATGCTTGGGATGTTGAGAATGGCAATTCCTTCCAGAGAAATATTGATTAAGTCTAGCTGAATTCCATCACACTGATTAGCAAGGGGAGAAAAAGAGTAAGAGAGAGGGAGAGAGAAAGCAGTAAAAGAGAAAGAAAAAATCAGAACGTTCTACCTACCAGCTTTTTTTCTTTAGCAATTCATTGCTCTACGCACTGTTAATGGTTTATTTCAGATTTGCACCTAAAATATATATTTATATCTGGAAAAGAGGTATGAAATATGAATAGATCCTCATTCAGCAGGCAAAACATGATTATTATTCAGCCCTTGATTGCTTGATTAAGTGTGGGACCATTTGGTAGAGCCAGACTGTTATTTGATGTGTACTCATTGACCCATACGAAACATATTTGTGGATTCACTGCAGGTTCTAGCAGACAAACAAATTTATGGCAAAAATTGCCACTACAATAACTGGTAATTTTTTTGTTGCTTCTTCTTTCAGCTAAATTGTCTATCTTAAGATTTTATAATGACAATTGCCATTATAGTAGATGATTCTCTTTCGCATGAAAATTCATGTAAAATATTTTACATACACATCACAGAATTTCTGGTTATGTTTAATATATATAGCTTAATGGAAATGGGTTTTAGCATAGAATAGTCCACAGATGTTACTGTCAATTCAAAGGCAAAAGTTGCACGTTATGTAGTGCTTGCAGGAGATACTTGTAGGAGACTGGACTTTAACTTACAGAGTCTGTTTGAAGTCAAACTGTCACACATTCTCAGCTGGCAGAACAGCCTCCACTGAGAAAAAGAGACTCAACTTTGGTTACTACATTTGGGAACACATTTGAATATGCATGCGGAAGGCAAGTATCCAGACCTAAGCCAAAGGTCCCAGGGTTCACTTTCTTATTAAAGAAACTTCATGCCTCACAACATAGCTAAAACACAGAGATATTCTGGCAAGTCACATACCTTATTATGTATAAACTGCATATTTTAATGCATTAGTTCCTACTCCTTGAGTGTACAACTTGAGCATTGGTAGGGGTTTTTCAGGCCAGTAGAGGCTCCAGTCATGCATTTAAAATTGATTAAGAGCCTTACTTTGTAATTCCAATATACAATAATCAGGAAGAAAACTGGAAAAATAATTAACCATGCTTCAGTAATAGTCCACTGACATCTTACAGCTTGCTGCTCTGTGGGTCACTGGCACTTTTTCTCTCTGTTTATCTAAGACTTTATTACACAGCTCACAAATAGCTACATATATTTATTCATTTAATCTGAACTTACTCAGACCACAAATCATAACTATTTTATAATGCACACTTGACATTTTTCTAATTCTTCTGACAGATTTGCAAATCTAGAAAGAAAACAATTTCAATATTAAGATTTCTATTTCAAACTTGATCTTTCAGAATTATATTTTAAACCCCTGGATTTTATTCATATAGTAGACTTTTATAATGAAAGGACACGTCTGGAACTCAGTTGGCAGTTGTGGCAGCAAATGTACTTGAAAGTTTTTTAAAAATAAAAATGATATGGTTCTTCACTATTATTTTGGAAGTGAATCCATACTTTTTTTCCTATATTTTATAGGTATTAAATATTGAGATGATTTATTGTACTAAAAATTCTGCTCATGTGTATGCTCACTTACTGCTATACATTCTAGATAAACAGATATTAATTTCATAATTAAAAGTAATCTTGTGTAAATACCCTGCAGGCCTCAATGAATCAAACACATACTGTGTGTCAGGCCTCCCACTGTCTTCAAGTGGAATGTACTGGCTGGATAATTAGATAGTACATATTTTTTAACCTTATTTGCATGCATATTATATCTTTTGCACACTGACAAGCAGCAGTAACAACAAAAGTCAGATTACCACAGGGAATTCCCACAAAGAAGTCTTCATTCCTTATAATTTGCAGCCTAAATTAAAATAATTTGATCTTTGACAAGGATGAAATGTCAAGCAGAAGGGGGTCCTCTACAAGCCACGGCCTGTGGCTTCTGAAATCTGCCTAATTTATGTCAGTCACTTCTTAATACATATTTAAGTATTACACGAGAAAGATGATAAATATGCAATCTGACACCTTTGGTATTTCCCTGCTGTTAATTTATAAAGGTCTGGCGTCCCCCAAACCGATTGGAATTATTTAAATAAAAGAAGGCTTGTGAAATAGGATGGCGGAGGGTCTGGCTTCCATTTTCACTCAATATTGAACACAGCAGGTAGTACACTGAGACAATTATTTGCCTCGGCCTCAGAGTCCCACGGTGATGAGGAACTTCCCAAATTAGTAAAGGAGTATTTCTTTTGTTCATACACAGACAAGAAGTTTGCACTACAGGTACCTTGCGCTATCCTGACACATTCATATGCTACAGCAGCACAGTGCAGATGTGCCCTGCTCCTTTATTTTATTTTATTTTATTTTATTTTATTTTATTTTATTTTATTTTATTTTATTTTATTTTATTTTATTTTATGGAATACAAGGACGCTGCCAAACATTAAAGCATATTTTTAAAATACAGAAACCACATTTTAAGAATAAACTACAGTGCTTCCCATTCTCTTTTTTGGGGGGGTGACTGGTCCCCTTTTTGACATTATCATTTACATTTCATTCACTATATTAAAACTTCTCTAGGTTGAGAACATAGCTGTGCCTGTAAACAGGTGAAAGGCTTTGCTGTCCCAGCAAGTGCAACAGTATGCAAAAGAACATAACCTCTTTCCCCCACCGATTACTACGAGGAAATATCCTATGTTTCCTCTGGTTCTGTGGTGCTGTTACAGGTCTGCAGGGATGTCCCACACCATCTCCACTTCTACTGGGTCCTTGCCTTGTCTAGTTGTCTGCTTCACGCACTTCACTTCTCTTTTTGAAGGGGAAATAAAGTGTAAACTGGTAATCTATAAAGTCTTAAACCTCATTTACTAACACAGTATGTTTAAAATGCACTATTTTTTTTTTCCTTTAAAATCTATGAAACCTCATCACCATTTTAGATCCTAATTTGGGAAAATATGCCTTATTTTGTTTAAGATCTTAGCCTACACTACTTCTCACCCTTACCAAATAGACAAATTTTCCTGTATCTTAAATACAGAATTTAGTAGATGAATTTAGTGATCTGCATCTCAAACAGAAGAATAAAAGGATTTAAGACGTGTATCAGGAAAGCCAAGCTTAGTCAGTCTWGAAATCAAATATGTGGCTGAACGAACAACTGCCTGCAGAATTCTTCATTGTCTTCTCCCAGCTCAGAGATACAGATCCTTAATCTCCATGCACTTCGTTCATTCAAAAATTGAGTGCAGAACATATGCATTCTGTGTGCAGTTCATTAAGAGTGAAAGGTGGTGCAATTCTTCAAGCTCTCATTTACAGCAGCACCCCAAAGCTCTGAACAAGGGGCAGCAGATTTAAATATCTGATGAGAACATCATTGTACCCAAGTATTTATAATATAAAAATGAGGAATGTTAAATAAATACAAGCATATTAGTAAGCATTGCTTGCTTATTTATAATTTGCTCATTATAATGCCCCTAAATGACCTCTTCCTAATATTCTTCTGTAAAAATTTTGGAAACTGTTTCCCATCTGATTTGCTTGCTTTCCTAATTGTAGGACTAATTATAACAGCCAGCACAAATGAAATGAATATTAATAAATATATCTTAAATATTATCCATGCAATAATTTTATTGGTATTAATTGTTAATAGTAATAAACTTGCATCAGCAACATCATTCATTTGTAATTATGAGACATGAACAACATTTTATCACTCAGTGGCTATTGACAGATGACTAAAGAAGAACTTACCTTATTAAGTGTTAAACTATGCAAAATTTTAGCATGATATAAATATTTTTTTGGAAAATTTGCTCTTCAATTTGTACTTAATCATATACTTAACCTACAGGACATTCAAATCAAATCCAATCAGTACGGGTAACCAATCTTTCCAATAACTAATCAGGCAGTTCTCAGGCTTCATTTTTGAATGCAAATGTGTGAAGTACTCTTTTGGAAAGCAAAATCAGATTTTATTTTGTTTTGTTTTTAAATGAATTTATCTGAGTACTTATCCATTTTAAGAAGAAATATAACAACAGATATCAAAGTCTGTTATAGCATAAGAGACTTACAATTTCAATCTCAATATCCTCTTTTCTACTGTCATGATTCTTTCAGACCATTTAAGTGCTTCATCAGGCTTTAACCAGACTAACAGCTCTTATCATACCTTTCAGGCTGTCTCATACAACTATACAAACACCCATTTGACATGCAATTTCTCATAACTATTGGTAGAGAAAAGCACCATAATCCTGTTGAGAAACAGCTTCATTATTTAACTTAAATTCCCAAGTTTGTAGCTTCAATCATTTTTCATTTATTTTTAGGTATCACTGCCCCCCTCAAACAGTTTGCCTAATGAAGCCACTTATCACTTATTCTACCAGTCATCAAAGCAGCAGTATCACATTATTTTAAATTCCTTTTTTTTTTTTCTGTAACTATCCTGTGTCTTTTCAGTTAATGTTCAGTGTATAATGGAAAGATGACCCCTTGTACAGAGAGAGAAAAGATAGTTAATGAAGGGGAATGATTCAAAAAATATATATATTCTTTAACCTTTATTCAGAAAAGTAAGTACAATTTTAGGGAATTGAGTTTTAAAGGTTATAAAAACTTGGGACCTAGACATAATAAGATTTTTTTTTATTTTAATCCTGCAGCAGCTTCCACTCCCTACAACAGTCTTTCATTTTTCCATCTGACCTAGCCACACTACCTATTGATTTCTAATGTTATAGTTCACCTCTTGACCTTGTCTACAGTATTAAGACTTCACTAATCATCAAACTGAACTTTGATCCAGTGTTCAGGGCTACACTACAAATAGGCATGATAAAAATAATATTTTGGAATATAGGGTCGAGAGGATGTGCATTGCTTTGCCTTGTTGGACTCAGGCACTCTGCTCCCCTGCTCCCTACATTTCAGGCAAACTAGTGACATTTCAAGGATAAAGGCAACAATTAATTTCTTACTTCTATTTCTACAGATTCATGCAGCTTCTTACAGGTGGCTGAGAAAGTTTCTGAAGTGCCAAATTCAAAATACCAAAATTTGTTCTTCATTCTGAAAAAAGAAAAAGAAAAGAAAATGAAAGATCTTATTCACTACCAATATGTGACAAAAGTGATCATTCTGTCTTCCAATATAAGTAATGGCAAAGGCTTGGGAACATGTGACATCCCATTTGAAATAGATGAGCTCATAATTTTCAAAGCTTAAATGTTGGTGTCAAGCTGTATGATATCCCCTAAAGGGATGACAGGAATGTGTTGAACTGACAGGTTCAAATGTACCCTTGACTTTTCTTTTCCAGTGACTATCAGAATATTTTTTGTCACTTAACCAGTGACATGCCTCATAAAAATGTATTGATTTTATTTCATGTCTTACACCTACTATATGTTTTCTGATTCACAGTTAAAATCTATCTTGCAGAGTACTATTATGTATGAGCAGGGTGCTCCCTGCATGAAGAAGAGCTAGGACAAAAATGTAGCTTTCTCTAAACTCTGTAAGTAGTTATTGTTTATGACAACAGACATCAAAGAAAATAACTTTTACACACCTAACCTCTTCAGGTATTTTGCAATAGGAGAGTTGTACTACCATACAGTTAACACATAGGCACATTTAAAATTGGTGATGGAACTTGTAATTCAGATTCTACAGAAAAATAAATTCACATATAAATGGTACTAAATTTCTTAAGTTATCATGACAGTGGCAAAGATTACACTTTTTTCATTCTTAAATACATAAGAGGCTGCACTTCTGTCTCTAGAACTGTTACGTAGTGTTAAATACAATCAGGACATCATTTCATATAATTAAGTGTAGTTTTGTGTAACTATTATTCTGTAGCAGAAAGAGAAGCAAAACTAAAAAAGACTCTAAATTAGACTTCATTATTAACATTTAAGAATCAGATATGAACACAGCATATCCACTTGTACAAATTATTCTCTGATAAATACACATCATGGTGTGCTTGAGCTGTAAGTGGAGAAGAGCAAAATACAGATATATATAACTGTCAAACATGTCAGCAAGAATTATAAACTCTATTGGTAGGTATTTCAAACAAAAAACCTAAGTCTACTTAGCAACTCTTCAAGTCACAGCCATGCACAGGCACTGTGGTGCCTGCCATTCTCAGAGACCTGCTAGGAGCCTCAAGGTGTCCAGCCCTGCAGCTGTGTACAGTGGGGAATACCTACACAATAACAGTGTGATTTCTGAAAAAAATATCGTACAACCATTTTCAGAGGCTTTTCCAAAGAAATTCTGGCAGACTTATGTCACGAAATGAGTGTGCGTGGTGGTGAGTGACACAATGCACTTCACAATGAGAAAAGTTGATTTAGGAATTCAGAAAAATACTTTTTTATTTCTTTTGATTCTGTTATTGAGTAAGATTAACAAGCCTTTGTATATTCTCCTTTGAGAGCTTTTCTCTTGACATTCAGTTATTTTTACCACAAATGATTTCTTTTCTTTACTGCAAAACATGCTTTAAATTGACTTCTCAACCCTGTATATAACAATTTTTTTACTTGCAGAAAGCTAAACCAGACAGATACCTTTTAGAATCATTTGGGGTCATTAAGAATATAAAGAATATATAGTGTCAAATTTATTTGTTTGTTTGACARTGCACTTCAGACCAGTAAGTAAAAAATTGTAGAATTATATGTTAGAATTATATTTATATGCACTAATCATTTTTTGATTGTGAACACATTTCTGATCATTATCATATACCCAGAAGATTCTATTACACCCCCATATATACACTTCTGAGCTTGTCCTTTTACTAGCCAGAGACATAGGCTGGACCTCTTTTGTAAGGATAAAATGACAACCTATTTGATAACCTTTTCAGTACAAATAGATACAAATAACTTTTTTCTTCATTTTTGAAAGAAATTACAACTTGCTTCACCAGCCATGAAACAAATTACAGGTTATTATATTTCTGTTCAAATATATAAATATTTTTATATAACAGCAAATTACTTGAGCTTTTCAGCAAATTACTTGATCCTTTCTCATGGATAAAAACAAACAGAAAAGTAAAAAAAAAAAAAAAAATACAGAGAAGAAATGAATACAAAGTATACTAATTTTCCACAGGCAGAAGTGATCTTATCTCTGTGTTAAATGCACTGTTTTGTATAACAGACAAAAACTTCTCTAAATTCATATCTTTCACTTGTACTACTCTTTCAAATAGGTGAAGCTTATCTACCTTATCAATGACAGCAGCAAATAGCAGAAMAGCCCATTTAGAAGATTAACAAACTTTTCTCATTGCCATTCTCATTTCTTTCACAATGGTGTAAGTAAATTTTAGACTGGTAAACAAATGCATATTTAATGATAATTTTGCAACAGTAAACCAGAAAGAAACTGAATCATGGGCTATTGTCATGTGTATTTTTCCCTGCTAGACGAGCTGATAACTTAGAATTGTTCCAACATTTAATAAAAGATTATCAAAATAAAAGTGAATCTATTCCAGAAACAGAAAAATCCCCAAACACAATATGAGACTTTTCTATAAAACAMTGCTTTTGTTAGAATGGGAAAGCAAATAGCTTATTTTATAAGAAAATGTATTTGCATATGCTTCAAAGTACATACCTAAATTCTTAACAGACTTCTTGACTGAAAGTACAATATAAATAAAAGATGAATCATGATTAAACACTGACTCAACCCGATCTAATGATGCTATTGGATTACAGTATGCCAAGACACATACAGATGTAGCAATGTAGCAATAAAGAAAAAGCTGTACTTCTAGAACTTAAGTACTTTTGTTGGTGGTGGTGTTCTTGCCAGACCAGCATTGGATAGCTTTCTCATAAGTCAAGTGATCTTATTCAAAAGGATCAAACAAATTTGCAATAGAGAATGAAAAGGTTATGACTGCCATTTTGTGTAATCTTTCTGTGCTGTGGATAAATACTAGGCTTTTTTTTCTACTAAAAACAACTGTTACTCTTGATAAACTAAAGAAAAGTAGAGACAACTGTTTCACCAAATAATCAGAAAAAGTTCAGCTAGGGTGAATATTTCTCAGAAAAAGTTCAGGCTAATATTTGGTAATCAAGATAAAATGATCAAAATAGTCTGTAATATAGGTTTGCTCTATTATCAGTTAATCAGAAACYCCCCTACTGCTAAAACTATTTTATATAACCTTTCTGATTAAGCAATTACAAGACATATCATTGAAAAAATGTCCTGTATCTAAATATGGAAATGGTAAACATTTTATTCTACATCTGAAGAGCATTGCAGTATGCACAGTCCCTCAGAACATATATAACAATAGATAAGCAAGAGGCTAGTAACAAGAGGACTTTAAAGGTTTAAAGGGGCAGTACATTGGGGCAATCATTTATTACTGATTTTAYATGTTTAACATCATTTCCATTGCATTTTATTTATATTTCCTATATGCACCTATATTTCCTATTTGTACATTTCTTACTTATACTTCTTATATTATGCTTATTTACATCCTAAATTAATTACACAGTATAAAGTGTACAAAGTGACATGGGATAAAAAGTTCTACATCAGGAAATATCTGACTCCTCTTTTTCTCAACATTTCAACTGAAATACTYTGAATCATTTTTGAAAATGACACTGAGTAAAAACATGTGTTTTTATACAAAAAACACATATACTTTGAAGTGTTTTAGGTTTAGTACTGTAATAGCCTTGCATAAAGAATATTATTCGGGCCACCTGCAGGAAAATACATACAGAATTTCACTGTATCATGATCATTTTGGGAAAGAGCTCTTGGAAAACTTTGAACATTCTCACACAGCAGAGAAAAAGAGCTAACTTTTATCTGTAGTTTCTATCAAGCCAACATCTATGCCATTCGTTCACCCGTGCAAACTACAGAAACTTTGATACAAGACACCACTACAGTTCTTAGCTTTTCTCAGCTAATTCCTTGAAGAATCCACCCCCCACAAAGCAACCTCTACCACAGACCTGCACAGGAATTTCCTTTCACGTAGGAGCATTTGTGCTTTGCTGCTTTGTTTCCTCCATAAACCATACTGATCCCCCAAGGTTAATCCCTAAACTCTATGTGCTTATAAGAATAAGTACCATTGCCTTTTTATTTTGTCAGTCAATGTCAAGAGCTGGTCTCAGTCTGTATCATAAACTCATAAAAATTTTCAACACAAAGCTCCCCTTTCAAGAGCACTTCATGAACAAGAGCATGCAAAATATAATGCAGTTTTAAAAAAAGAAAAAACAGATAACCCYTTTTTTTTTTTTYCYYCCMRRRGRAAAAAAAAAAAAAAGGTGGGAAAGAAGTCTCACTGAGTGGATACTTCACATCCTATTCACTACAAAAATGGCAGAAATGTGAATAAATGAAGGTGTGAGACAGAAAGATATATTTCCACAGTAGAGAGATGTTCAAGGACAGAAAGTGGCTGAGAAGTCTATGTGAAAAAATGGAGATCATCACCAGGGAAAATAGAGGGCTCAAAGAGAGGGAAGAATGAGAAAAAGATAGGAACCTAATTTCAAAATATATTGAGCTTCTGCTAAACTGAAAGAAAAATGAGGATAAAATTGAAAATGAGTGGGGAAAAAAAAGGAAAAGAAACCTAAAAGGTGCACAAAAGTACAAACATACACTTCTGAAGTCTGAAAACATAGACAGTAAAGACTAGAAATGAAACTAGGAATGCAGAAAAAGTCATACGGGGCAAAAAAATTAAATGCATGTAGGATACAGGATGGGATACAGGATACAGCTGGGAATAATCTAACTCGAGAGGAGGTTTATTTATTTAAATTCAGACTATGATCATCTAGGCTATGAAGGAAAAASCAATACAAAGAGAAAGGAAGAAAAACAAAAATGCCATATTTGGGAGAGAAAATTACCTATGATTAAAAAAATACCCTATTTATGTCACACTGTAGTTGTCTGCTGCTGACACAGTTGGTGCTCTGCCTTACTAGAGTTTTTACTATGGCATTTTTAAAAAATCAGCACAGAAAGTTTAGTGCTAG